AGTACAAGATTGAGCTTGACACCTCAGAGACAGCCCACTTGGAGCATATCACTCGCAAGAGAGTATCTGGGGAAGGTGCCCTGTGAACATTTAGCAAGCCAGGTGCAGCTGTCCCTCCTGTTTCAGTCATGGCATGGAAGGAGACTTCTAAATAAATTACAAATCCTCAGTTCCTTCCCCAATTTAGCATGCAGCTTTCCATCTAGTGTTATGTACTGTAATTGGAGCCACGTGCCTATTATATATGACATATCATTACATCGCGCCATACCTAATAGTTGGCAAAACTTTCTACTGTTGTTTACTTTCTTGGAAAGCTCAAGGCAACTTAAATAGGCTCCCTGCTGGTCTTTCCATTGGGATATTAGCTAGGGTCACTCTTAGGTTTATCAGTATTATATAATCATATGCTTCTGGGGGCCCTCTTTTTCCAGAGTGGAATGGACTGTTGCTGCCAGATTTTCCTAGCCAATGTCAGAAAGATTAGCTAAGGGTATTTGCTGCACCAGGAATATACTTCAATAGAATCTTCTTCATCCTGTCATCATTTGAACTGGACAGAATTATGGTTATTAAAACTTTTGTCATCTAAATGCCAATTCCCAAAATAGATTCAACTCATCCAAGTGCTTAAAATAAAAAACAGTAACTATTTGACTAGAAGTTGTAATATCTCTGCTCCCTACATCATTTTAATCGTATCACTAACGTCTGTACTGCAAGTGATAGACCCAGCCTATCTAGTCATTGCTGACTACTAATTGCTGTGTCTCTCCCATTCACAGTCACATTTTTCCTTCTTAATCCAGAGCAAGACTGACTTAAAGGGAACACTGTACAAGCTATATAAAATCATCTCTGCATTTTTTACATACGACAGAAAAGCAAACCCACAAAGAAGCACCAACCACTTTGTGTGTGTCTACAAGGATAGGAATTTTGCTCTTTGGGTAAATGCTTAGAAACAAAATCAAGCTGTTGATTGGTACTTTTTCTGTTAAGGATTTCCCTGTTCATTTGATGAATTTAATGCCTTTCACTAAAGCTACTCCACTCACAGTGGTTCATTCATATTATGTTTTTGCTTTGATGAAATCCACATCATTATTCATTCACCTAGTACATCCATCCCCAAGTTTAGATTTCAATTCTCAAAATTCCATAGGCAGAATTATCACTATTGAGAAATCAGTGTACGATTTCTGCACGACAACTTGTTGCTGGACAAAAGTTACACTAATAACAAATGTAGAATAGAATCATTTAAAAAAGATGCAAAAGGAGGGACAAAATGAAATGTGATCGACAAAAATTAAAATATTTTTTTATTTTAAGTAATTAAACAGAATTGTAAATTGTTCCGCAGTGAGTTGTCCTGTGGCAAGTTGGCTGTGGTGAGTTGGACATGGAGAGTTGGCCACAGTGAGCTGACTATGGCAAGCTGTCCCATTCCCTGAATGTGAACTGGTCTACTTAGGAATATTAAAATAAGGACTGAAGCAGGAAGAAATCAGTCAACTTTCTGCTGCAGATAGTCAAGAAGAAGAAAAATAATCATATGAAGCAGTCTTAGGAAGACATAAACAACAGAATAAAAACTCTCCAGTACAATGTAAATTTAATCAGCAAGCTTTTAATATCCAAGTCGCCTGTGCACTGAACAAGCATTCTTCCACAACAAGCACTTCAAAGAGTACTTTGAGCTTACAACATTTTTCTTGTAAGCAGGTCCAGATCAATATGGAGGAGAAAACATAGCAGGGGGAAACAAAACCATCTCGTACTTAATTATTCCTTTGGAAATTGGTGTATGCATGAAACAAAGAACAAAACTGCTGAAATTTTTCCCAAATCACATTAGTCCAGCTGAAGTTCAGCAGAAAATCTGAAAAGTGGTGCTTCTGGGTTTTGGCTAAAACAAAATCTGAATACTAGAATGATTTCCTGAGGCAAAGAAGGCAAGATAATTACACTTTGCTTCCTTTCTCCTCTCCTTCTACAAGTGGCTGTGTCCCAAATCTTGTATTGAATAAAACAGACCCATTTTGTTCAGTATATAGACCTAAACTCCAGAAACGCATATTTCAGCTGTGGTGACCGACTATCCAAATGCTGATGAGAATATGGTGTAGGTTGTGGCATTCTAGTATTGTTAATTTGCCTGAGCAATAAGAAAGGAAACACATCTGAAGAGAATGATGGCTGTTCACATCAAATAGATTCCACAGTCCAGAATCATAGCATGTAACACTGATTATTTCAACAATTAATATAACTATTCCCACACTGTCTGATTTTTCAAGATGGCTGTTTAGGGTTCTAATTCCCATCTCCCTGTCTTCAAAACAGAAACAAGAATATTATCCTGAGCAGATAGGAGCCACTTCAGAAATCATTGTGAGAGCCAATACTCCAATCTTCAGGGAATAGCCAAAAAAAAAAAAAAGGCTTATTGTCAAAAAATTACAACTTTTTGTGAAACTGAATAGCAGATAAAACAGTGGTTGTAATTACAATGCCCACAAACACAGACCATTAGACTTGCTCAATGAGATTTATGGCACTTAAAATGCCAAATGTCTAAAGAGGGCAGTTGGGACTCCCAAGACCTGTATCTCAGCTCAGCTCCTATGCATTCATAAGGATGCTGCTTCTTTTTTCTGAACCAAGAGAATTATTTTTGAAAGAAACACACCTATAATTTTACACGTCTACAACTTGACAGTGATCAACCTTTTAAGAAACGACAGATATAAAAATTAATTATATTTGTCACCCCCAGTTTTCATTTTGGTTAAGACAAATCAAGGCAATGGAAGCAACAGAAATCTGCCACAAAAACAGAATTACAATCATAATTGTATGGCAAGAAAAATATATTCCCCATTGGACACAATGGGGAAACCCTTTGAAACATTTGAAAAATGCCTTAACGTCTTCAAACATGAATACTTTGCCATTTCTTCGCTTGGGCACACTAGAACTATACAATAATGAATGTGCTGGCAAACCAGAAGCTGACTATACTAAATAGTTCCATTGTTGCTAGGCTCAATAAGAGCCTAGTAGTATTGTCTGGAGCTGCAACGTACAGGAAGTGAAATAACATTCTGAAAAGCTTTAAAGCAGTGAATAAAATATGTAAATGCATACACCATGGGCAGAAAAGATTTCCTCATCACTATGCAAGATACAAAACTGCCATTATCATTAGTATGCCTCCAGAACAAACACCATTAACTTTTTTCAATTACTCAGGTAGGGCAATAGTTTCTACAGATGGTCATGATGAGGTGAGAGTATGGCAAGCTAGTCTGGCTACAGGTTTCTGTCAGCTTGATATTGAATATTACTTTTTATGATGATTACACATAGAACCCAGTATTGTAAACAAAAGGCCGAGTTTTTTTTTAAAAAATCTTTTTTTCATTGTAGGATGTTTGTTCCTTCCTCCCCAGCCCATCTCATTTTCTTGTCACAAATTCCTCACCCAGGCCGAAGTAACACGCTTCACCATCTCCTCAGATTTCTGTCACTTTGTTCTGTAATACACAGAGATGGCCTAAAGCAGTGGTTCTCAACCTGTGGGTTGGGACCCCATTTGGGGTCGAATGACCATTTCATGGGGGTCGCCAAACAATGCAGTCCGCCAATTTTTTTTCCCTTTTCCTTAGCTGTGCTACTCCCTTTTATTCTATTGGCTTTTGAAAGCCAATAGAATAGACTCTCTTGAATAGAGTCTAATTCTATTGGCTTTCAAAAGCCAATAGGAATTGTCCAGGCTGTCTCTGCCCTGCCGAGCCCGCCAAAAGTCCCATTCTGCAAACAGTGCTGCACCAATTGAGTAGTCCTCGACTTACGACTGGTTGAGTAGTCCTTGACTTACGACCGGTTGGGGGTCGCGGCATTAAAAAGGTTGAGAACCACTAGTCTAAAGCAACAAAAGATGATCCAAATTAACAAAGTGCAGCACTCAAGTTCCTAAACCAAATGATGCCCTGGAGCAAGGGTGGGCATACGCACGCTGGCATATACATGACTCTTGGTAGTGCCTCCTTAACGAAGCAGTATCTTTTCCTGGTCTCACCCTAGCCAAGCAAACCTAGGATTTATGCATTTGAGTTAAAGAGGCATCAACTGTGCACTTAAACCTGGTCCAAAGCATATGGCAGGCCTCTTCTTGATGCAAAATGGTGCTCTCTAGAATTGTGTGACTGTTTTAAGATGTAGAAAAGGTCAACTGCATACTCACATTCACTCTGAAGAAGCTTTTTGGCTTCGGTTCCTAAATTGCTGGGATGCTCTGTTCTTGGTCTTCAAAAAAGAGCTCTTGCCTTTCTCAGCATCTCTGCAGCTGGATGTGAGAATCTCAAAGGAGCTAATGTAAAAGAGAACAGCCCTTAATCTCTACAGGAGCTGATCAGCTCACCGGATTTCTTTATTCAGATTCATTAAGCCATTACATTCCTGACAGGAAATCATTTATCAGTAGACAAAAATTATATGAAATGCATGGACTGTCTTAAGAGAGCCTGAAATTAAGAGGAAGGCTGGATTACTCAAATGCTTTGATGCACGCAATGAGTTTAAATGAAGCAAATGTTGCCATACTTCAGCCACCTCGGCTTGCTTTGCAATACCAGGAGACAACTGACTCTGTGAATGTTTCACAGACAACAGACGTCAAATCCTGAATTTAAGAAGTGTGTTCTTCAGGAGGTGGAACACAGGCTTGTTTCACTTGGGCCTCCTGGTCATATGAAGCCAGAAGTCCTTTCCTAGCCTCCTTCACTAAACTAAGGTCAGAAGGATACTACAGCATATGGAGAAGCTAAGGGCAAACACTGGACAAAACCGCACTGTCACCAGCTGTGTCCTGGAGCTACATCTGTAAAACCTATTATGTGCTGCTGCTACCGCCACAAACACACAATGCCACATTCACCGTGGAAAAACCAATCTGCTGGTTAATACAATCCTATGAAAAAAAGAGGAAGCCATCATTTAAGCAAGACATATTCTTTCAAAGATTCTGGCAGAGGCAGTTCCTTCACTGCATCTGGTAGGAACTGCATACCCAAGCTGTTGCGCACAGCATAGCGCGAAAGCGTCTTTAATGTGCCTGGGACGGAGCATAATGTGGTAAGCTTTTCACAAAGCTGCTGATCTCGCAGAACCTCACGCGGCATAGCACCATTTTTCCTCAATTCAAAGTGTCCAACGGCTCTGTGAAGAAGATCAAAGCAGGAATCTTCTCTCTCAGTGCCAAGTCCTCTGACCAGCAAGGCAACCAACCTTGAAATTGGGGTCTGCCCCTTCATATTGACTATCCTGACCTCAGCTCCATACTCTAGGAGGATGCTGACGCTCTCCAGGTTGCCCTTCATTGCTGCCCAGCTCAGAGGAGTGTCGTTGTTATAATCCAGAGCATTGACAAAGGCACCGCTTTCCAAAAGTGTTCGGACACATTCAGCATTGTTTTTAAAAGCAGCCCAGTGAAGTGGGGTGTCCTTATTGCCATCCAGTGCATTGGGATTTGCTCCATATTCCAAAAGGATCTCCACACAGGTCTCATCCTTCTCAGCTGCATAATGAAGAGCTGTTCGATTGTAGCCATCAAGGGCATTGACCTGAAAAAACAGGAGGAGGAAGCAGAAGGTATTATCAGTATGATTAAGAGAATTAGCCCTAGAAATATGACCAATAAACTCACAGAATGGGACAGAGCAGTGGTTCTCAACCTTTTTAATGCCGCGACCCCCCAACCGGTCGTAAGTCGAGGACTACTCAACCGGTCGTAAGTCGAGGACTAATCAACTGGTGCAGCACCGTTTGCAGAATGGGACTTTTGGCGGGCTCAGCAGGGCAGAGACAGCCTGGACAATTCCTATTGGCTTTTGAAAGCCAATAGAATTAGACTCTATTGAAAGAGAGTCTATTCTATTGACTTTCAAAAGCCAACAGAATAAAAGGGAGTAGCACAGCTAAGGAAAAGGGGGAAAAAATGGCGGACTGCGTTGTTTAGCGACCCTCGTGAAATGGTCGTTCGACCCCAAATGGGGTCCCGACCCACAGGTTGAGAACCACTGCGATAGAGGAATCCTTCAATTCAGTTCAAGCTTCCATTAGGACTGAGCATCAGGCAAAACACTTTGTACACTATAGCAATCTTTCTCAAAATACAAATTCTTTCTTGACTACTTAATCTGGATCAAATCTCAAAAATCTGCAAAGAAAATCCTGTCTATACATTTAGAAATAGGATCTTTCTGATAGGTCACTGTTCTGTTATTTATCCCTATCTCCTTATTGCTCTATGTAGGGGAACCTGACTAGCTATTAACGCTGGATTAATCCTTGCCCTTAATCTAGCATAGGCTGTTCTTAAATTCCGTCTCTGTCTCCACAACAGGATGGTGATTTGTGTGATATAATCAATCTCTTAAAAGGCTGAGATGTCCCATTATAAGATTTTTATATCATATCCTGAAGCCAATGATTTTTTTTTGCACATTCGAATTGGTATGTGTCTTGTTTTCTCTTACTGTGAAGAAATTTTCTAGATTTAATAACCAAAGTTGAATCTTGTTTCTCTTGTTCTTTATTTATGAAAGAAAAATCACTGTAATTCATATTATAACAGATAAGAAAACTGAAACACAACAAAACTGTGGCAACAGAATTAAGTGACAAAAAATAAAAGCACTATTTGAAAATAATGGCCAGGATACAAACGATACAAATCTCAAGAGAATAGGAGATTCTGAAATATACATCCTTTTAGGTACAACAGGGAAAGTATTGTTATTCAAAAGGATTTTTTTTTACATTAGAACATTTTTCTTCCCCCTTTTTGCCTTTGAGAATATGTAATATTTATCAATCTCAGAACCTGAAATAGCACTATAAAATACTATCCAATCTTACATCACCCTTGTATCCCATTAAAGTTTTTGATAAATCTATTTATAACCACTGGCTTAATTGGTTTTTTAAATTTGTTTTTCAAAAGGCTTGTGCCTCTTCTTACCTGGGCTCCTTTTTCCAACAGCAGCTCAATGCAATCAGCATCAGCCACCATGCAAGCACAGTGCAATGGTTTCAGAGTACCATGCATACAGTTGACATCTGCTCCCTGGAAGAACAGAGGAGAAAAAAATGAAGGATACTCTTCATGTACTTCCAGTCCATCAGCATAACCCTTATAAAACCTTCACATCAGGGGTGTTAAACTGCTGGCCCGCGGGCCGAACATGTCATCTGGAAGCCGCGCCCACCCCAGTGCCAGCAATGGCAAAACCATCCCGATACATTGCACAACGTCACGTGACATCGCGAGTTTGACATGTCTGCTTTACATGATCAATTTGTCATTTAAAAGCAAGAGAAATTAGGGCATCTTTAATTTATGAACTGAATTATACAGACTGAAATTTAAAATGGTATTTTATCATTGGATTCCTTCTATTTATTGCTAATTATTTAGTGTCTCAACATTTCAAAAGCAGTAGTGTCAGCTATGACATATTCAACAATGCCTAGTTCTTCTATTTAAGACAACTAGGAAAATTAAAAAAAAACAGAATTGTCTTTAATTTTTTACAGGGCACAACACACTGTCGGTAGATTTGGAAGCGGATTTAAAGTTAACAACTTAGCTTGGTTAATTATAATTTGTTTCTTCCCCCAACCCCCTTTCATTCAGTCCTGTCCTATTTTTAGAGTTTGCCTGGACAAAAACCTACAGTTTTCCTAACGAGGTGTTTTAGAAGTGGTTTGCCCTTGACCCCTTCCCAGGGTTGAGAGAAAGTGACTGGCCCAAGGTGACCCAGATGAATTTGTGCTTAAGGCAGGACTAAAATTCAGTTCCTAGTTTCTAGCCTGATGCTTTAGTCACTTCACCAAACCAGCTGTCAAATTCATTCTCTTTCTTTCTTTCTTTCTTTCTTTCTTTCTTTCTTTCTTTCTTTCTTTCTTTCTTTCTTTCTTTCTTAGACTACAATTTAGAAAAAAGTAATGAACTTAAGTCTAGCTCAGGGGCAGGCAACCTTTGCTCTTTTATGACTCGTGGACTTCAACTCCCAGAATTCCTGAGCCAGCTATGCTGAGGGGAAAGGGAGAGGTTTCCATGCGGGCTCAGGAATTCTGGGAGTTGAAGTCCACAAATCATAAAAGAGCCAAGGTTACCTACCCCTGGTCTAGCTCTTCCATCACAAATTGTTACATGATCTCCCCCCCCCATTAAAAAATACCTATTTACATCATCTTATCCCCCATAAAAAGGAAACTGTACATGTCTGGAGAATTAGAGACCACACATTCCCTCTCCCACCAATCCAATCTTTTTTTTTCTCTAATATCAAATCAGGACATCCCTGAAAGTAAACATTGTCCTTTCTCCTGGTTTGCTTCAAAAAGACTTTCTATTCATAAATGCCTTCATGCGTGACCAAAACATTTCCTTCTTGATAAAATTCCACATTTTGCCTTTCTAAAGCAGTTCTTTGAAAATCTTAGATCAGTCCCTGGGAAAAAGAAGAAAGGCGGTCAAATACTATTTTTCTCTTTCTAATGTGAGAGAAGCCAGACTATGTGAATTTAAAAGTGGAGGAAGGAATCCACAGAAATGGACAAAGGGAATGAGGAAGGAAAGTACCAACTAGAGTTAAGAGAAGCAAAAGAAATTCAGATTACTGCTGCTGCCATCTTCTATTCAATCAGAAGAATATTGTAGGATACTAGACAGGATAGGTAGAACTTTCAAGAACATTAAATTTTTAGGAAATCAGCAGAAAGTTTTGCATCTGCCGGACTTGTAAACCTAGAGCTTTTATTTTTTTTTTCTACTTATAAAAGACAAACCAGAATTAGTAGAGAAATACAAGCAATGTAGAGGTTCGTAGGACAAGATAATGATTTTTCGATATTCAAATCTCTGAAGTATTTCTCGAGATGTGCCGACTTCTGACTTCTAGAATCCCTTTGCTTTTGATAAGAATTCTAAATGTCCATGCATTTTTTTTTGGGGGGGGGCATACAAATTGGGGAAAAATACTTGAATATATTAAACCAACCCTTTTCAACTTTGCTCTAGATCAGTGTTTCCCAAACTTGACAATTTTAAGGCATGAGGACTTCAACTCCCAGAATTCCACAGCCAGCAACGCTGGCTGTGGAATTCTGGGAGTTGAAGTCCACATGCCTTAAAATTGTCAAGTTTGGGAAACACTGCTCTAGATGAACTGAGCAATGCAGCAATTCCGAGCTAACCAGCACATTTTCTGGAAACTATAATAGTATACTAAATTTAGACAGCACCAGGGTAGGAAAGGTCTTTTCTTTTTTGGTACCTTTGAGTCAATCTTGTCTCCCCAGAACTTCCTGGCTGCAGACTAGATACTAAACAACTTATATAGCAAAGCAGCTGACAGTTTCAATCAAGCTCAATCAAGCATCTCATCCACTCTAAGAACTGTGTAACTGGAAACTGCAATTTGACTATTGCAATTTGACACTGAGGAGTATTCAAACCTTTTGAAGAAAAAAATATCAGGCTTATAGAAGCTTGAGAAACACTGATAAAAATACTGCAAACTGTCTCTTTTCTAACTGGAATAAATTTTATAGAGCCACGAATGTATAACAAGAAGCATTATGGACATTCTTTAAAAACCCTTCCCAACCATTCTTCAATGCAAAATCTTTTCCCAACAAGATAATCTTCAAGACGTGAGGACTGCAACTTGGAAAGGCAATGCAGACAGGAAACAGTTCTAGTGTATATGGAAGACAGCAAATTAGGGGAGGCTGTCCTGGAAATTATTCAGCTGGAGAACATCTATGAGAACATCCATGAGAAAGATGATACCTTTTCTATAGTAGTTTTTCAAATGCACAACTTCTGAGGGAGCGAGTTCATCTCCAATTAGTTTTAGGTGAGTGACTAGATATACAATGTTTTGTCAGGCTTCTGACAGATTTTAATTTCATTCTGGATCATTTTAAAGTGTACTTTGCATTATTGAATTAAACTGTAGTTTCTTTTGGGGACCTTGGTAGATCAAAAGGTAGATTAGAAATACTATTACAGCTGGATTTGTGACAAAAAAGTAATAGATGTGGACCAGCAGAAAAAACAGCCAATTTGATCTGTGCAATTGGAACAATTCTTAGAACTTCTGTTGATATGTATAGGAATTTTAAAAAAACCCTAAAAAAATATAGTTGCACAGATCATAAAAATAGTATACATTTCTAACAGGTATCTTCAAAAAAATTTACATACTCAGACAAGTGCATTACTACCCGCTTGAGAAAGATCATATAATGTCTCCATTACATAGCTGCAGCCTTTTCTAGGCAATATCTCCTGTATTCCCTTTTATCTTACACAGAGGCGGAGGAAGGAAGAGTAATGACGACTGTTTCCTACTGCTGAGTGGTATTATACTGTAGTAGGAAATAAGAGTAGAGTTCAGACCATGATATAGAGGGAAGTGGTTTCCATGCCAATTCCATGACAAAATCTTCAGGATTTGCCCAAGAGAATGTTAAAATCCAAACTTTACAATATTAGGCATTATGCAAATCAATTCAGAAAACTATTAAAGTGGGCAATCATTGGCTTCCAGTATTTAGTACTTGGCAATAAATAAGCCTGATGACAGAAGCTTAAGTTTTCAGAGGATAAATACTCTCTTGAATTATGTATCTAATACATGGAATTTGACAACTGGACAATATAAATAGATTTTCTGTGTCCAGACTGATATTACAACAATGGACTGATAAATTTATGGCCCCATTTACCGAAAGAACGAAGTCCTGATTACACTTGCTACTTATGGATTCCATATACACATAAACTTTGTATGAATAGATACAATGAAATATGAGACTGATTTATACAAAATACAATAGGTTAAAATGTTTGTTGTTATATAAGTGTATTAGAAATGGAATACACTTATATAACTATAGAAATATATATAAGAAGACATAAACCACCCATAAAGGTAAGACTGGAATTTTATTCTCTCTCTCTCACACACACGTATTTACTAGAAGTATGTGTATGAGTGTATACTTATTTGTATAATGTTTTATTAGATAATTATACATAGAATTGTAACTTTTACTGTTGCAACAATATACTATGTATTTTTTCTGTTGTATTTTTCACTTGTTAAGCATTTAAGGATTTGTTATATTTTTATAATGCATGTATTTTTGTGTTTTGTTCCTTTTGTGGTTTTTCTTTTTTTTGTTATTATTAAAAAAACCACCTTAGCATCTTCCAGAAATCTAATACCATTAGGAAATACCAATATAAAGGAGGACAGTATACTAATAGCTAATTGTTATGAATACCACATAAGTTTTAAAATCTTCTTTTAATCCTTAACTTTGTCTAAGTTCCTAAGATTTTAAGATGGGGAGACAAGCTCATGAGTTAAATAATGATAAAAGAGTCATATATTATTATGATCTCAGCCTCAACAGAAATTATCTGATCCTAGAATTTAGCTAACACTATATGAAAAAAAATAATCTATATAGGCAATCTCTGGAATACAAAATCTTGTTTCCATCATTGTTTCCTTCTCATATATGATATGATCAAGAGAAAGACTCCAGGATGCTATTTAACTCTGAACAGTTCCTAAACAAATGATTGTAAGTAATACCTGTATTAACTCCATGTGAAGAGGACTGGTCTATATTCTCTATCAAACTTGAAAATTTAATTCAGGAGAAAGGAACAGGAGATTTTAAGTAACTCCAAAGAAATCATTACTTAAAACTGCAACCAAGAGGAGCAAAGTCAGATTTGCTCTCCTAACTTTATAAACATTCCCAGAAACTTTTAAAAAAGCAAATAAAAACTTTTTCTTAGCTTTTTTCACCTACCCTTCTTATTAGGTCTTCAACATTATCATGCGGGAAGGATCGGATGGCTGCTATAGTCCGGATCAAGCGCTCTGACAAAGAATATTTACTCTGGATGCTCTGCATAATATACCACATACTGGAATTCAGTTTCCTTGGTTACTTTACATGCTCCAAATTGCCTGAAGAACAAACAAAAAAAGAACTTTAAAAGTACAATTTCTTTAAAAAACTATGTAGAAATCGCAGCAAGATATATAGTAATAGCATTAAAAAATATCATCAGATTGTTGCATTCATTAACCTATGATGGTGAGGAAAAACTAATCAAGAATAACCTGAGGTTTAGGAGGTGGCTCAAACTTACCTGGACAGTACATGTACAACTAAAACATATCTTTCAAATTAATCCATTCAGAAAAATCAACTGGTATCGGCTGACATTAGAGAACTATTAAGAGATGATAAAGATGTTTTATACTTCATGCAAAATGGATTAACTGCATTGAAAACAAGAAATAAAGAGAGCAAACTGATGAAAACACCTTGAGAATAATATCTGAAATATTATGAAAATAAAATAATTAATCCAAGTAATTTGGTTGGATTATGTATTTATTTTCACTATTACATTTTTTTTTCTAGACTGCTAGTAAAACAATTATCTCTGTCACACTTCCAGCAGCCTTTGTTGGATCATTCCTACAATGGATGAAGTCTGCACCTTGAGGGTCCTTCCAGAGCTCCACTATCAAATAGACAAATGAAGCTGCTCCTACCAATTTAGACTGGTATGATATATATAAAACTATTAACTAGATGTTGATGGCCTCACTTTAATAACCTAACCAAACTAGTAAAAGCTATGTAGGATCAGATTTGGTTATCACTAATCTCACAGCTGCATGTACCAATGGATAAGCAGGCAGACAGATTCCATAGGAGACTGACAAGAAACCTCAGATGTAGATTGAGAAAATAAATAAATTCTAGTAGATGACATTGGAAAATTATTTTCAAACCGTTGCTATGAAAGGTCTTTATAAAGACACCAGGAGATGAGCTCAACTCAACAGAGACTTGGTTAGATTACTATCTTTAGAGCCAATTCTGAAACATCAATTAGTACAAAATACAGCCACGGGAGCATAACTGTTTGCATTACTCCCTTTGGCATGACCTTCACAGGCTGCCAACTCTTTTCCAGTCTTGATTCAAAGTCCTCAAACTAACCTATAAAAGTCTTCCCAAGTTTGGGACTACAGTCTGAACCTTTTCACATATATTCCTATCAGCAACTTAGAGTCATTTTCTAAGTCCAGCTCCAGTTGCCTTCTTAGGCTAAAATCGGAAAACTGGTTGCCTGGTAGTGGATCTCCTCAACGGTAAGAATAACTGCATCACAGTGAAGCATACCTGGATTTAACTTTAGAATCTTTCTAGCAACAAGAAAAGTTATTTTACTTCCCCAAGCCTTTTAATATATTAATATGTTTACTGTATACTGCAATATTTTAAATGCACATTTATTGACTATGCTTTTGTTAATATATTTCATTTTAATTATTACTATGGGCTAAAATGTGATTTTTTTTTACTATTGTAAATTTCTCTGGAAAAACTCTGCTTGAAGACTAGTAGGACAGGACATCATTATGGATTATCAAGATTGTAAGCTAGGCAAAAAGATTGCAAAACAACCTAAAAAAGGCACTGACAAACCACAACTATTCATATAATCACCAGGAATCAATGGTATTTTAAGCTTTTTTAAACAAAATTTTACAATAAATGCATTGGATTAAAAATTCTAGAATTTTTAGCCAGCATGACCAACAGACCTGGAAAAGTTTGAAAAATTGTGATTTGGGTTATTTGTTCCTCCTAAAAACAATAATAATATTTCATTAGAGTCTATATATATTCTATGATTAACATTGGTTTCATAAACATTTACATTTTAAACTTCTTGTTTCTATTGGAATTTTTGGAATTTGGACTCAAGCATATCAGTTAAAATGCAAGTATCCCCTTAGTTGCAGAGCTACTATTTTGACTACCTTTTAAAGCATATTGTACTTCTGATTCCATTCTTGTTTTTAAATTCCAAATTCTAAAGAAAACTCCTTATAATAAATCATGCAAACAAACAATTTAATTCTTCTATTTGGAGACTTTAGCAACAAATTATGTTCACAAATTGGCAGTTTATACATAAACAATCCTTGAGGCTATGTAATTATAATCGTTGTAATGCAGCAACCACCTCAGTTGTTTTTTTCTTTTTAATGCTGCAAGGAAGGTAAAATATTTGGTAGCTCCAGATCATCTTTAAATTCAGTTTGATGCTGCAACCCAGATCATTGCAATAGTATCAGAAAAGAAGATTTAATTTTTATGCTGCAACAAACCATACAAAGAACAGAATAACAAAGATGGTACAATTTGATAAACAAGATAAGGGGAGGGAAAGAATATTAATGCATATGCCTGGTAAACATTCACATTCAGGAGATTGCCATTGCCACCAATTAGGAATGAGCTGAAACAAAACTTGCTATGCTGCAAGACAACCATTAGCAAGCCCATGAGAAATTAATAAACAAGAAGAAATCGAACCGTCTCCAGGATAGCTGTGTTCCTACACACATCAACAAAATGGCTCCAAGATACTCTAAGGAAAAATATTTCTTCTGTCTCAATACACAAGGCTGTCCTTATCTGTCACACAGCCATGCCAATCACAAGTTGTTATATAACAAGCTGCACCTCTACTAAAATCACTGTACTTTTGCATTTTTAATACTGTATTAGCTGAGTAACCTTAGTACAAGATGATTTGTGGGTTCCGCTGGTGTATCAGAATCAGCCCACCTCCCAAAAATAAAAGTAGAAAACTTTTTAGAAGTAGAAGTTTCTAAAAAAAAAAAAAAAAAAGGTAGCCTGCAGTGTTTTGAATACAACATCTGACATTCCCAGCCACGTGGTCAGTAAGCAAACATTTCAGTTAACTTCTAACTTGAGGAAGCTTTTTGGAACATGTTGTATCTTACCTCTAAGAACAGTATTAATTAATGTTCCATTTAAGAAGTACCTTAGTAGCCTTGGGTGATAAGACAAACAAATTGGCAAGAAAAGAGTTAGGATAACAGTTCTTTCCACTGAATCCAGTTCTAAAACAAGTTAGCATCATCTAGCAAATAAGGTTACCAGCATCACACCTATTATTTGGATGGGAGATCACAAGGAAATCCCAGGGCTATAGGAAATATTAAAAAGTGGAAAAAAATATTCCAGAAAGCAGCAATAATAAACCGATCAGAATTCTGGAGGCAGCTTTTCAGACTAACAATTTTAAAATAGTGGCAATTAACTTTTGCTTGTTCCAAACAAGGTCAAAGAATTTCTTGGAAAAGATACAGCATAATTTTTGGCTGCAGTCTCTGCAATATGTAGGCTGTAAAGTAGAAGGTTCTTTCAATCTTTTCAAAATGTCATGCTGTTGGCATTTGGTTGGAAAAAGGATGCCCATTTGTATCTATGTTAGCTTCCTGAATTTTATGCATTTCCACTTCATCCAAAATTGGTGCTTCTTACTGTAAACACAGGAAGAGTGGTGTTAGTCTATGGTAACCAAGAAGCAAGTCTCCTGTAACACCTTAGCATCTAACAAATGCATTAGTCTGAAAGTGTACTATCAGACTCCTGGTTTCTGGTTACCATAGACTAAAGGATTTCTCCACTACAAAGAAAACACAGAGCGCACATCTTTTACATTTTAGAGGGAATTAACTCTGCAATTCTGCACACACAAAACAGAGGGTCATTCTGCAGGAGAACAGGAGTCTCTTGCTTCTCAAACAGTTGCCAGCAACCTAATCGTGTGTCTGTGTGTATCTATCTTTACCTTATTCACACACACACACACACACACAGAGAGAGAGAGAGAGAGAGAGAGAGAGAGAGAGAGAGAGAGAGAATAGACAGATCGATCGATAGATATATTTTACCTTACTGACACAGACGACAGGCATCCAAGAACAACTAAATGCAGGAACATGTTTTTCATGTCACCGTTTGGATCAAGGTACAAGAAACAAGATTACGCGTTAGAAAAATCGTGATCCGGCGGATCCTCCCAACCCGACGCTCTCCAGGCACAGACACGACTTATTACTCCCGTGCCAGAATGGCCGGAGATGAACTGTAATCCAGCACATGTGTGGAGAGAGCTTGACTGGGGGGGGGGGGGAGAGAGGGGGACCCTCCCAATGCGAAGTCTCCGCAAAGAGACGGACCCTGCTTTCTTTGCTCTTCCACACGGTCGCCTCACCTATCGCCCAGAAGGCTTTTTTCCGGAGAGCGCAACAACAGCCTGGCCACCACGTCACTCCCCCTCCACACTCACCGACTTGGCGCCCACTTGACCGCGCGCCCTCCGCTGCTCGGAAGTTGGTCCCCTCAGCGACCGGAAATCACGGACGATGACAGCTAGAGAGGCCGACTTTCCCGAAATCCCAACACAAGCCAACAAGTTGTCGCACCGATCAATCCCTTCCTCCTTTTCCCCCCTTCCATTCCCCATCTAGCTAAAGCCGACCCTTTGCACAAATATCTCCCAATGATTTCACCGAATGGCACGCAAGTCCCGCCCTTCACCGCTCAGTCTTCCAATCCCCTGAGAGTTCTTCAGCCAAGCTTCTTAATTCGCGGGGAAGATCGAGGTGGTTTTTCGCTGTTGTGGCGGGAATCAAATGCGAGATGGGTCTGAGGAAGGACTCACTGGAGAAGAGCCTAATGCTGGGAAAGATTGAGGGCAATAGAAGAAGGGGACGACAGAGAATGAGGTGGCTGGATGGAGTCACTGAAGCAGTAGGCATGAGCTTAAATGGACTCCAGAAGATGGTAGAGGACAGGAAGGCCTGGAGGAACGTTGTCTATGGGGTCGCGATGGGTCGGGCACGACTTCGCAACTAACAACAACAAAACTAGTTTCTTAATTTTTTTTTCTCTTCCCATTTTGGAAAATTATGGACGACTCCAAAAACACTTTTGTTTCCATGCATTATATTCAAGGATTCCAAAAGAGCTTTCGTTTGCATGTGTTATATTGATATTTACTGTAATCAAATTTAAAATTGAAGCTTTTGGTGCCACTACTGCTTCTCACAATTGTTTGATCAGAATTTAATATTAAATTGTTTTTCAACATATGCTAGCAAATAATGTTGATTTTAAGGACCTATGAGTGTTGGAGAAGCCCCAGGGATTCTAGGACCACATTTTAAGAAATGCTGGTTTAGAAGTGGCATTAGGTTCACTGGACCTCTCTTTTGCTTAATTTTTAGAGTCAGGCTGAGCAAGCAAAATAAGGTCCAATTCACCAAACCTGCTAAGATTAAACCAAGCAATTCAGTATTTTGGTTTATCCCAGTCATTGTCTGTCTATCAATCAATCATCTATATCTATTTTGTAAAATTTATTAGCTTGCCCATCTGACAACAACCCAAACGTTTGGTTTCTCAACTATAGTTTATGGCATAGCTAAACTGTAACTTCTAGACAATTGTTAAATGACTTCTGATACTCTTTCCGCTTCATGATGCTTCAATAAGAGGCAGTGAAACAAATATTTCAGATCAGAGCCCCCAACTTCTTGCACAGATGGAGATATCCAGGATTTTGAGAACATGTGGTCAGTCTCACAAAACTAAGAGGTTACCCATTTGCAAATGGTTGCCACACTGTTACATGCCTGGTTCATCAGAATGGAGCATCATCATAGTTCATCAGAATGGAGAATAATAGCATCATCTCTAGATTCTGCCAACAGGTCATCCATATTCCCCCATCTTGTATTTGGTTTTTTGGGGGGGAGGAGGTGAATACACTCTGAACTAAACCATTTGATTTCAGAGATGTCCTGTTTTTGTATAAAATGTTACCAGGATTACTTCAGTATTTTTCAAAATCAGATAATATTGGATTCTAGCTCTTTTGCAAAGTACCAGTTTCTTAATTTACTATTTGTAGGAGGAGTGACAGAACGCTGGGGGTGGAGTTAAAAGAGGGATTAGCCTAGAATTCCCTATGACCTAAGTGATCCCAAGTGGATTAAGTCAAGCACCCCCCCCCCCGAATTCTGTGTGGGCTAAGACCTGCTCTTTTATGCCTGACATTTTTTAACACCAAAAATCAAGGAAGGTGGAAATCCTGATGTCCACCAAGAAAAATATCCATGGGCATAATAGTGCTCTAGATTGAGATCACAAGCATATTCTTCAAACTACACCAATACATTATTACTTTTGAGGGTGGAAACCCAAGAGTGTAATCAGTCCCCCCCCCAATTTTCTTGTTCACATAATGTATTCAATGATGATATGAATCTCTATAAAGGAAAAGAATAGGGACTAAAGGTTTAGTTTTTTGTGTAAACAAAGCCACTATAAACTGTTATGAAAAAAATCCTAGTTTATTCTTAATTGCTCTACTTTGCTTCTTTCAGTTCCTATCTAATAGAATGGCTGCAAATTGAAAAATTGATGGAAAATCTTAAAACTGAAAAATTCCATATAAGATGAATAGGGGAAGGAATGGTGTTATCAATTTTTTTTCTTTTTACTTGTAAGTAGTAAATTTGCCCATCTTTGTAGGTTGAAAAAGTCCTGAGGCACCTTAAAAACTGGCCAATTTATTATAACATAAGATTTCATACATTTCAGCCCATTTCATTATATGCAGAGGGGGCTATCCACAAAAAGTTTGTGTGGGAACAAGGAACAGAAAAAGATCAGAAAATGACAAGATTTATTGACACTCCATTAAAAAATTGCTGTTTCCTGTTGATTAGAAATCTATAATGAATTAAAAAGAGAATTAGCTCAGTTTTTTTTTCTTTAACCTCTTTTGCCATTCATTCTCATTCAGGTATCCACCCATTAAGCAGCAAGAAGTGCCATCTTTTTATTCCTCGTCTGACAATTAGCAACTCTTAGCACTGTGAAATCCTTGGTGCTCTCCGAGCTTGGTTGTTTGTTTGCAAACTATCATCCAAATTAGGTAACAATATCATTGCCTCAGAACTCTAACCTGCTAATAATGTTTATGTCATAAGAATATTAGCAGCTTAGATTTCATGAGAATTAATTAAAATACATGAATATGATGCCAAATAGTAGAGAGCAGCTCAAACTGAATAAATCCCTATGAGGCAGAAAGATTATATCCTGCAAACCTGCAAGTCAGAACAGCAGCTTAGTAATGATTTATTTCTGACTGAAACAGCCTCTCCCAATCTGGTGAAAATATACTTCAGGCATTAAACACCCATCATCCCTAATGAGCATAGTTTAAGATCAATATAATAGAAATTAGAACTACAATTACAGTAATGTTTAGGAGATCAGAATAGTCCTGCTAGTTCAGACAAAATCTATTGGACAAAAAGATACATTTTGTCTAACCTGACATTAACCCCAATGACTGGCTGCATACTTTTCATGAAGCCTATAATCAGCCTGAAAGATATTAGCTGATTCACATCATTTGTTTCCCAGCAGTTGGCATTAACTGGGACATGGCTCTGATTGTGAAAAAATAATTTAGACAGGATATTAGTGGCAAGCAAATTTAGGCCATAGTAATCAAAATTGGTATGATCCACGTAGATTAAAAAACAGCAGGAGGGTTACAGATACTCTATTCATGAAATGCAATACAGTAGTCCTTGGCTTACGATCACAATTGAGCCCAAAATTTCTGTTGCTGAGACACTTAAGTGATTTTTGTCCCATTTTACAACCTTGTTTACTACAGTTGTTAAATGAATCACTGCAGTTGTTAAGTTAATCACACAGTTGTTAAGTGAATCTGGCTTCCCCATTGACTTTGTTTGTCTGAAGGTGATCACATGATCCCAGGACATTGCAACCATCATAAATATGAGTCAGTTGCCAAGTGTCTGAATTTTGATCACTTGACCACAGGGATGCTGCAATGGTTGTATGAAAAATGGTCATAAGTCACTTTTTTCAGTTCTGTTGTAACTGAATGGTCACTAAATGAATTGTTGTAAGTCAAGGACTATCTGTATAGTAGGGAGGGAAAGTAGCTACTGGAAAATCAAAGGCCAGATCTAATTGGTCAGCTACATTATTTAGAACAGGGGTGTCAGACTGCTGGCCTAAGGGCCAGTTGCATCATACGGAGGCCTTGCTCAGCCCAGCTCCGGCAATGCAAAAAGAGTTGTGATACGTTGTGACATGGTGAGTTTAACACCCGTGATTTAGAACACGAGAGGGGAGACAGAAAGTAGATGTTTGCTTGTTTTTAAATCAGGTTCAGGTTAGTTGGTTATAGAATTCCTGTAAAAAACAAAATAAACTAGAAATATGCCAACCCTTAAAGAAATAAAAAAAATCATAGGGGGAATCCTTGACTTACAGCCATTTGTTTAATGACTATTTGAAGTTACAATGGCCCTTTACAAAATGACGTATGACTATTTTTCACATTTATGATCATTGCAGCATCCCCATGGTCACATGATCAAAATTTGGATGCTTGGCAACTGGCTGTATTTATGAAGGTTGCAATGTCCAGGGGTCATGTGATCACTTTTTGTGAATTTCTGACAAGCAAAGTCAATGGGGAAGCCAGATTCACTTAACAAATATGTTACTAAGTTAACTGCAGTAATTTACTTAACTGTGGCAAGAAAGGTCATAAAATGAGGCAAAATTCACTTAATTGTCTCGCTTAGATAGGAAATGTGCTCAATTGTGGTTGTAAGTCAAGGACTATTGTACCTGTAATGTATGCAAAACTTTGAAGGTCCAATTTTTCCACTGCTTTGGTAAATTGTGTCACATTTCTACTCCAGTGGCCAGACTAGCTGGGCAAGTATGAGAACGGAATTCTACCCATCTGGGCCAGATTAAGGTCAATTGATGCTCCAAGCACAGTCCAACAACAGCCCCCCCCCGCCCTTCCAATGCTAAATGACAAAACGTTAAGTCTCAATAAGCGCCAAAGGTGAAATAAGAGGCCTTCCCTCAGGTTGAACCCCAGAACTACAGAATATTAAATATAAACTTTTTAAAAAAATATTTAACAGCAATAAGCAATATAAGAAAATTATTTAATAATTACAATAAAAACTGCATTTTCAATACCTTTAAAGCATTGCTACTAAGACTATTATACTATAGGAGAAAATGCAAACATAAAAAATTGTTGAAAACTAAAGTCAAGCTTGACAATGAAAGAGTTATGAGCATGATAGTTGGGGACAAAAGCTGAGCACAATACTGCCCCCTCCCTTCCCTTAGTTCCCTAAACAGATGCTTATTTGGGTTAATGCTTAATCCAGGGTTGAACTAGAGGACACAGGTTGCAGAAAGTTATATGAAAGAGTAAATCGAGTTAGCCATGCCAGAATAACAGAGACAAAAACGCAAGTGCAACAAGGTATTTCATCTTTGGCCTTTCTTTTTGCTTTCTACCTATATCTTTATACACACGAATTCTGAACCTACATACACACGAATTCTGAACCTACAAGATTCATGCAACCTGCACCCTCGTTTTCCCCTCTGGAATCGATACCATTTGCTACCAACGCCCCAAACCGGCTATTTGCAAGCCGGGAATCTGAGATAATCCTCTTCCAAATCTAATTTGGATGCATAGACAAGCCCTGCAAATTTGCATCCAGCCTGAGAAAAGCGGAAACTCACCCAACCCTTTCTTGACTTCCTTGAACCATTAACTCGAACTCCGGGAGCTGGACCACCTCTTCATTTCTACCCTCGCCTTCAAGAGCGGACAAGCAACACGTTCACCCTTAAACCATAGAGCTCCTAGTTCCTCTTGGTTCCTAGCGATCACCAGGAAATACAGCGAGGAGGAGGAATAGGGGGTTAAATTAATCGGGGAACCTTCCTGTTCCCAGCAGCCCCCAGAGCCGAGAGTGGGGCTTTAGTGGAGTCGCTGCGGTGGCTGGATCTTCCCGTGGTGCTGAGGCGCCCCGGGGACGTGACTGGGGGTTCCTTCATCCCGGGCAAGTGAGTTTTAATCGGGGAGACCCGCGCGGGTGGGATAGACAGAAGGGGGTTGAAGCATCGCCTGTAGGAGAGCATTTGGGGCAAGATTGCAGATTTTGAAACGACCTCCTTTTCTGCTCCCCGACAAGTCCGTAACGTGGCTCTGCACGATCAGACGCAGGACCCCTTCGCGTAGCAAAAGACCCCATTATTTGCTAGGGTCAGATTGTTTCTGCTGCGAGCTTGAACGAAGAGTTTCCTTATTTCCCCACTCCTTTTCTTCCTCGACCTCGGGGAAAACGGTTATTTTCCAGCGATGAAGCCCATCGTTGACAGTTTAGGCAATGCTCAGACGGTTTTCCTCGCACTGCCTGCGGGCTTGTTTTGCTGGCTGCCCCAAACGAGACTTCCTCGCAAGATGGCCACCCCGAGCTACAGAGAAAGCTGTCATTTAAAAGTTGCGGTTGAGGAAGCAACCCTGGCCCATCTCCACCAAGTTAGGGGTTGCTAGGTTAGAGTAATGAAAGCGAAAACGAATGCTTGTTTTTTCCAGGGCAATCTCGAAGCAATGTACCAGGAGGAGGAAGTGTGGTAGTGGGGATGGAGATCAAAAGATATGAAACTGACAGGAAAAGTATAGTATCCTGAGCTATAATGGAATTTAGTTTAAGTCCTGTGCAAACAGCCATTGAGATTAAAAAAATATGGTTTATGATATAACACTGTGTAAACCCAGCTAACTCTGTCTTAGTTATCACCCATAATTCTCACCCAATAATCCAAGGCTTATTGCAACTCCTGAATCTGGCGAAGTGTTCTTTGGCACCTTAAAAACTAAAAGGTTTCCAGTAGAATCCAGATTACTTTCATTGTCTCTCATCTCATTCTTTTCTAGCACAGCTTCTGTGCCTTTTACTGTTGCATATACAACTAAAATAAATGGGAAAAGTTTTCTCAGTTCAGAGATACTGTGGGGCAGTGTTTCTCAGTCTCAGCAATTGTAAGACACATGGCCTTCGACTCCCATAATTCCTGAGCCAAATTCCTGAAGACCCACAAGTCTTCAAGTGGCTGAGGTTAAGAAACACTTATGTGGGAGCCAGATTGTTTACTGTACCAGGTTAATGTTTGTCTTCTTGTTAATAATGTAAATAACTATATTGGGGAAATCACAATCTTTTGGAACTAAATATACGTTTTCTTTCTTGTTAGCATGCTGAAAGTAGCTCTTAAAGCAGGCTGTGTTTGTATGTAAAGAAGCTAAGACAACAAAAACTCAACTAGGCATACATGGAAGTTACTCCTTAGTCTTACTGCATTATTTTGGAAGCCACAGTCTCTGTGGGTTAGGTCATAAAAAGAGCAGAATAACAGAACAGAATAACAAAATTGGAAAGGACTTTATTGCTCTGGGCAGTGGACAAAAGTTATACTTGGTGGCTTTATATGATCAAGTATCCCTGAGTTGGAGAAGAGATAGCTGTTGGGATCCTGTTACTTGTGATATCCCTGGTCTTTGGGACACCAAACTAATGGCAGGATGCTGATAAGAGCATGCACTTGTTTTGAACTCCAACATATTGGTCCAGGATTTTCAAATCAATGTCAGGTATGCATATAAGATTAAGTTAAATTGGTTCCCCAATTTACTAAGGCAAAAAAGGGACAAGCCAACTATTAAAATTTAGCCAGTTGTATAGTGTTCCAATAATTCAGGATCTAGCTGGTTGATTCACTGTGGTATAGGAAGAACCTCATTTGCTGTCAAGGAGATCAAGCTTAAAATGCTAGAATTCTCTATATAGCAGTGGTTCTCAACCTTTTTAATGCCACGACCCCCAACCGGCCATAAGTTGAGGACTCCCCAACCGGTCGTAAGTCGAGGACTTTCCCTGCCCGGGAGCGCCGTGCATGCATGGTGCCGCCCCCTGCGCCAGCTGAGGCGTAGCTGGCAAGCGGCAGAGACGGAGCAGTCCGACAACCGGCTGGACCACCAGCTGGCCCAGCCCAAGGGAGGTAAGGCACCCGCCGGGCCCCACGCATGCCAGCAACCCTCCCTGCGCCTGCCGGCCTCCCACCTCCCACCCCTGGCCCTCTTTTACTTACATTTTTAGTAGTTGCTCAGCAGGGAAGGGTGGAAACTTCTAGACAGCTCGCCTTCGCTGCAGACAACTTGCAGCACCGTTTGCAGAATGGGACTTTTGGCGGGCTCAGCAGGGCAAAGACAGCCTGGACAATTCCTATTGGCTTTTGAAAGCCAATAGAATTAGACTCTATTCAAGAGTCTATTCTATTGGCTTTCAAAAGCCAATAGAATAAAAGGGAGTAGCACAGCTAAGGAAAAGGGGGAAAAAATGGCGGACTGCGTTGTTTGGCGATCCCCGTGAAATGGTCGTTTGACCCCAAATGGGGTCCCGACCCACAGGTTGAGAACCACTGCTATACAATGTGTCAAGGATGTATTTTGGTTTGGACTTTCTCAGGAGAACATTGCTAGACTGGATTTGAGTCCCAGAAACAAGGCAGTACAAAATATATATAATGAATGTGACCACTAGCGACTAGCTTTTACCCAAGTGGTAAAAGGGGGGGGGAGAGGAAGTAATTGTGTCCAATTATATTTTCTTTAAACCAAGATTTATTTGTTTGTATAGTACCAAGATCATCAATACCTAGATGACCTTGGTTGACTTCAGAATGCAAAGCAAGATCAGATCTGATTATTACTTGGGTAGGAAATTATTACAGAATCCCAGAAATTTATGTTTAGACTGAGAATTGAAAAAATCATCTTGGATGCAGGCAGCAGCCAACCAGTTTCATACTGCAACTGAGAAAAATGTACTAGACGTGTCCAGAAAGCCACCAAAAGATAAATGTTTACCTTATTCACAAATACAGGGTGGCTTTTCTGATTCTTTCTTTGTTTCTCTCTCTCTCTCTTTCTCAGATACATTCTGACTTGAAAATTTCTCATATTGAAATGGAGCATGAAGATCCCGGCATTGCAGAGATCCGTGGCTCAGATAAAAGTGGGACCATAAGGAGAATCTACATAGGTGAGAAACTGGGGCATTGTAGAGAGTGACCTGATAGAGATGTGCAAACTCCATTTCCAATGCGGGGGGAGGGGGGGGACTGTAAAGCATGTTTTAGGTCCAGAACAAGGAGCTTAGGCAGATGCCCCCTAAACTCACTGAATTGTAAAAAGGAGAAAGAGGGAGGATGGCCAGCACTATTAGTCTTGCTAGTTTCTGTTATTCCAGCCAAGTAATTTTAGCCTTTCTGTGAAGTTGATTTCATGGTCTGGTCTACCTAGTAGGGCTGTCAGGTATATAGCCATGTTGTAAATATTTTATTTTACTTTTCCTCCAAGAAGTGGCATATAAAGTTCTCTATTTTTCCTTTTTTCAGACCAACCTCAAGAGATAAATAAGATTAGATTAAGATTCCATGCAAGTTCCGCGATTTGAATAAAGATTTCAATCCAGAGTTCACTAATCCTAATTTAGCTTTTTTAGACGAGTGTCTCGGGGATAAAATCTGCATCTCGCTTCTTAGAAGTGGCACAGAATCCTTTCAAAAACTGCCATTGACAGAAATCTGTCAAGTATAATATAGAGAGGAGGAAATTATTTCATGTATAGGGCATAATATTACCTGAACAAATTATCTTTAAATTCAACTGAATCAAAATTTCAGTTATGTAAAGTATTTTTTGTCCTGATCTTTTAAAGGTGATTTTTAAAAGACTTTTAAAGTCTTTTGTGTATAGCAGAGATAGGCATCCTTTAGTTTTCCAAGTGTTCCTGCTCTTTCAGTCAATTCCAGGCAATATGGACAATGGGTAGACAAGATGGAAGCAATTATAGTACCTGAAGGGCCAGAGATTCCTCACTCCTAACCCTGTGCAGAAGTGGCAATCGATTCTTTTTTTTTGTAAAGCCTAGATGTGTCTTTCTAAGCAAAGTGCTTCTCCCCTCCAATAGCGGACAGAGGTATGGTGCGCAAGAGTGAAGATGATTTGAAGCATGAGGCCATCCAGTCCACAGTACAGAACAGACAACCCACCTGGAGGGCAAGTTCACAGCAGGAAGTCTCTCCCATAGAACGGCAGGGGAATCTGTTAGTCCCTGGTAACTACAGTGAGGGTAACATGGATGTAGCAACCAATGTTGTCTCCCGGTCCAGCAAGCAGCGCCCCTTTATTTGCAATGAGTGTGGCAAGAGTTTCAGCCACTGGTCGAAACTGCTACGGCATCAGCGCACGCACACCGGTGAGCGTCCCAGCACTTGCGCTGACTGTGGCAAGAGCTTCTCTCAGAACTCACACCTGGTGCAGCATCGGCGCACCCACACAGGTGAGAAACCTTACGTCTGCCGTGACTGTGGCAAGAGCTTCAGCTGGAGTTCCAACCTGATCCAGCACCAGCGCATCCACACAGGAGAGCGCCCTTACACATGTGGGGACTGTGGTCGCAGCTTCACACAAAGCAAGAACCTGGCCAAGCACCGGCGAACACATACAGGGGCCCGGCCGTTCTGTTGCCCCGAATGTGGCCGAGGCTTTGCACATAGTGCTGGCCTGATCAAGCACCAGCGTTTGCGCCATGACACAGACTCTCCCATTGGCCACCCGTGTCCAGAATGTGGACAACGCTTCCGTGCTCCTTCAGAAGTGGAACGTCACCGCATTGCCCATCATGGGGCCACCCCATCAGAGCCCTTCATCTGTGTGGAATGTGGAGAATGTTTCACCAAGAGTACAACCCTTATCCGCCACAAGCAAGTGCACAAACCAATATTTGTGCGTTGAGGGTTTCTCTCCCTGGTGGGATCTGAATTCTAAGTGATGTCCAGGTTAGTAGCCTGAAGCCTGAGGATAGTTTTGGTCCAGTGACTCCGCATCCTGGATCTCGCTTGCTCAGATCAAAGGCCCTGAATGAGCCAGTGTATCAAACTAGAGAGCAGCAAGAATAGGAGGAGGCAGGAAATTCAGCTTGGAGCTCAGGATTCTGGTCATTTGATGGAAGAAAAACTGTTGTGTCCAGATCTGGATCTGCCTCGTGAGGCTGGATCAAAGAATAGTTCTCACCATCTGAGAACCAGAAGGCTGTTACTGTAAATAAAGTTTTTAGTTAGAAGCTATAAGAATTTTTGAGAAGGCGGGAGATCTGGTTTTCAGTCAAACTAAGATTTATTGGGACTTCAAAGGGAAAAAATGGATAAGGAAGTACCTTTGAGTTATTTTTCTTTGGAAAGGTATGGATGTGAAGTGGGAAAAAAGTGAGGGCACTGAAGAGTGGAGGAATAAGAGGATTGAAACCCAGTTTGTGCAATAAAGTGTTTTGTATCCCCTAATCTTAGTTGCTTTCACTTTTACTTTGTTTTCTTATGATTGTCTTTTCAGTAGAAAACTAGGCAAAGGGTGTCAGAAATGGAATATGGACCAAATAGATCTTGAATATACAATATATCTTCATTGCTGAAAAGGTGGCGGAACACAGCAAAAGAATAGATTATGATTGTGGGAGCTATTATATTAAGTAGATGTATTAAACAGACATGAACTACAAAATATTTGGGCTTTTTAAAGAGTGGGGTTTTTGATGCCACATATTATAGTTGGATGGTGATGAGCTCTCTACATTTTCTCAATACTTTCCCAATTTCAAATGACAACCTAAAGCTTAATATGCCTTTGTGTTTTTGTTTCCCTTAGGAAATCATGTCTCTAGAGTTTGACAGTTTGCTATTGAGCAAAAGATTCAGTCTAAATGTCAAAAATTAGTGAGAGGAAATAACTAGTTAACCTGAGCAATTGCAATAATATATATTTAAGCTTTGATGGAAATTATCAGCATTATTAAATCAAAGGTTCATATCTATAGATGTGTTTATAAAGTTAAGATAGAGGTATATGTTTAGAATGGATGTTCTAAGGAAAAAGCAACCATTTCCCCTGTTTATCACCCTTGAAACATTTTTTTTGCAGACTTGAGAACCCATGTTGCTCAAATTCAGAGGAAAATTGCAAAATAGAGCTATGATTTCCCTTTTGAAATAATGAAATATCAAAACTGGTGGCTCTTAAAAAAACAGTGTCCAAAACCTGGTGTTCAAACCCCAGGATCCCACTTGGAAAGCATCCACCAAAGTGAAAATAGCCCATCCTGAGCTCAAACTGTATTCTAAATATTTTGCGTACTTGTAGCGAAACCCCATGTCAGGATTTAAGAGGCAGTAGAGTGCCTCAGATAGTAGAGTTCCGGACAAAAGTAGAACACTTTTTTAAAAAAGGCAGGGTGAAATAGTCTGGTAGTTAAGACAAGATAACCAGGGAAAGAGATATAGTTTAATTCTGAGGAAGGAAATACTTTCAGATTGGCTCATTCCAGCTAATACAGGTTTGTCTAAGTGGCTGGCACTATTGCCTGTTTCCATTTGTCTTGTAAGTTCTAGTCCTGACTTAGGCATGAAAGCCAGCTGAATGACTTTGGGCCACTCACTCACAGCCCATCCTACCATACAGGGTTGTTGTTCTACGGAAAATAGGAGGAAGGGGTGTTATGTATGTACGTATGCCTTGAATTATTTATAAAGTAATAAAAGTAAAATAGAAAAAAATATTCATAAATAAAATGAGACGAAGAAACAATAACTCAAAAAGAACTGGGGAATATTAGCAAAAACTATTGTGAGATGTACAAATGACAGCAGGTTCTTCAGCTCATGGAGTTGTTGATGCACTTATTTTCTGCTTGTGGGGTTTTTAATAAACATCCATCACACCTCTCTGGAATAGAATACTGGCCTGGATTGGCCTTTCAGGAATTAAAACTATCTTTATTCCCATTTTAAAAGTGGCCAATCGAAAAATTCCGAGAGAGCTTATAAGTGTGGCATGGTGTTCCATTTTTGACAAGCATCTGCTAGTTGAGGTATTCTGTCTTTTGAGTATGGGATAATAATTCTAAAAACAGAAGCAGACTAGCTTGGACTACCGGTGGCGATGACCTATCTCATCCAGAAACAGAATGTTTGTTGTGAGAAATTAACTCTTAACAACCTGATAGCATTAAAATCTTATTAGATCTGAAAAAGGAAAGGGTCTTCTTTGGCAGCAGAATTTGTAAACCCATGAAAGAATCATTCAGATAGTAAGAGGAAACTAAAAAAAATGCATATTTGTAAAATTGCAATGTTTGTCTTGGTTTTAACATACTCTTAAATATTTGGAAAATCACATTAGAATGTCATTAAAAAAATCTAAAAACAATTTAGGAATTATGGTAATACAGTACTTCAGAAAAAGGATAGTTTGAAATTCTTTTGCATCTGATTTACATGTGCAGAAATACTTGAAAATATAAATCATTACAGGTAGTCCTTGACATACGACCACAATGGAAGACCTTCCATTACAATTGTAAGTCTGTCATAAAATAGGCCACCCATGTGATTGATCTGATTTTATGATCTTTTTTGCAGCATTCATTAAGCGAATGGTTTGCTATGAGTCAGTTTTGCTAAAACTGGAAGTAAATGCTGTGTTTTGGCAAAGCTATTGTAAACAGTCATGTTTTATGTATATTAAAATTTAAATAATATATACTGTATATTTTATATAGATTATGTCATAGAGCCAGTTTGGCCTAGTGGTTAAGGCATCAGACTAGAAACCATGAATTCTAGACCAGCCTTAAGCATGAAAGCCAGCTGAATGACTTTGGGTCAGTCCATCTTCTCTCAGTTCAACCTACCTCACAGGGTTGTTGTGCAGAAAAGAGGAGGAGGTGTGCTGGATGTGTTTACTGCTTTGAGTTATGTGTAAAAATAAAAATAAAGGCAGGATACAAAATAAATATTTGCAGGACACTGCAAATGGCTGAGTTGCATGATATACAGTCATCTGATCACTGGGAGGGCTCAGCCATCAGACCTTTGGAACTAAATTACCCCCAGGGAGGTCCTACATAATTCTGAACACTCACTAAGCGACCAGTCCTATGTAAGTAGTGTACCTTTTATCATGAAAATTAAGTGGAAGCAATAGAGAAATCATACACACTTCACGCTACATTGTTCACTTAAAGTTTGCTTAACTATGTTTCCACTATACTGGCCAGTTCAATCCTGCTGAGGATCCTAGTGTTAAGGACTACTTGGCCCTGGCACCTAGATCTAGGCTCCTTTATATTATCTCAAGTATGTGTGCACATGTAAGTACAGCAAAATCTCATTTTACTACACCTCAGTATGATAGGCATCTAATTATAACATGGTCCGAATTTCTGCTGTGCTTCACTCTATTCATGCAAATGACTGTACTAGTATATAAAACCATTTGCTACCTTGTATTCTACAAACATCTGTTTCCTCAAAAGCAAACTCATGTGTTCCCCACTCTAGTGGTTCTCAACCTTGTCTTCACCATAGACCTTTAAATACCTTTTGTGGCTACAGACCACCAAGACTTAAGATTTAAATCAACATTTTTTCAAGCCTTTGTGGACCCTCTGTGATAACATCACAGCCCCCCAGGGGTCTGCAGACCACAGGTTGATAACCACTGCCCCACTCATCTCTCTAGTCCTTCATCATGGAAGGATACTTGTCCCTTTTTTCTTGACAGGTGAAATGCTTCTAAACAATGCTGCGATCTGCAGGTCTCGCTTAATTATTTTCCAAGAGTACCTTCAGGATACACACCAAATACAGAAGTATTCTTCAAACTACAATTTGTAACTCAAATTAATTACATCCCTTTTTAAAAATCAAAAGAACCTTAACAAAATAAAATCAGGTGGGCCATGGAGCTTTCTGGGCAGCAATGCATTAGTCAATATGCAATTACTACTTGCTTTGTTCTATTTATTTTGTACAATTCCATTTACAAGCACTGCATTTCACTGGGCATCTTATGAAAGATGGCATCCAGGTGCCATAACTAGCAAAACAACATCTGAAAACTCAACTGAGTTGAGCAGATGAGGTTCTCAAGATATTATCATTCCCAAAAACAGAAACACCCCCACATTCATTTTAACAGAACAGAAAATTATCATCCCCTTACCCTCCCACCCTCCCTTTAAGCTGCATGCAGCAGGAATGCTGCTTCCCTCCAGATGTTTTGACCATCACAAAATAATAGGTGGGCAAGGGAGTCATCTTTGCTAGGCCTTTGTTGGCAACACTTGTGAGGCACCTGCTGCTGTCAGTTGCTGAATCTTTTGGTTCATCATTTCTATTACAGCTGTGAAAGAAAAAAACCCCAAATGAGTCAGGAAGGCATTTTAGCAGTAATGGCTATAATCAGAATCAGATGGAGTTACATTTACAGTTTTTGCATTTTTCAGTTTTTCCCTGTTGCTAAGGCCTACCTTGCTTCATTGCATGCTTCTCCTGCAATGCTGGCTGGATTTTCTCTATTTGCTTTGTCAGGAAATCAATCTTCCTCTTGAAGAAGTCTCTAGCCTCATCCACTTTCTGCCAAGATCAAGGCATTGTTACTCCACTATTTACAATCAAATAGCTTTATCAACAAAGAATGCCCAGCTAGCACTTTGCAACTGCTAATGTGGTAAATCCAAATTAACTGCATGATTTTGGCTTATATTTTTCAATCAACAGTGGGCAGAATTGGGTGTTTTCTGGAAAATTCAGAGAACACTAAATGGCCCATCTTCAATCCCTTTTACAATCTACCCCTGTATATAGTGGAAATGGGATGGGATCAGCTGAGGTAAGCAGCAGCAAAATAGTTTGGTGGCATAGAGAGACATATAAAAATGAATGAAATAAAAACACTATTTGAATTTCATTATTTCTGCCAAGATTAGAATTCTCTGTTAACTCTTTTGAACTGGCCTTTGTTGCACTTTATACTTTCTCAAGAAATGTGCCTTTTTTCACAACCTGGTGTAAAAATCAGACCAGGAAGGTTTCCTAAGAGCCTCTTGTTCGGAGTACACACAAGTAGGGGCCCATGCTTTTAAAGCCTCTGGCTCAAAGGCAAGCCGGGGAGAGGGGAGTCATAGTTGCACATAAATACCCATTGAGAAAAATGGTTTTGCTTAACAAACGGTGGTGTTTGCTTAACAAGTGCAGCATTAATGGCCACTGGAAAAAAAATGAGGTTCGATTTACGATAGTAATTCAAGGCTCAATTACAGTTGTAAGTCGAGGACTTTCTCTACAGCTGTGCCTGCATGGTGGAAGACCAGAACTCTGCATTTCCTATGATGTTAAATTATGTATTGTTGCCTCCTTGGAATTGTGAAACTCCTTTAACATCAGCCTCACAGAAATGATAAATCTTACCTTTTCTACATAATAACCTGTACCTACATCTAACAATACATGGCTCACATCAGAAAGCTTCCCAGGAACATACATCTGTAAAGAAAGGTTAAGGAAAAGCAGAAGATCCTGGAGGAATCAAGCACAATCAAGAGGAAAAAAGAATTAAATTTCTAGTCCAAAGGAGAAGTCCCCCAGTGGAGTAAGTAAAAAAGTCACAAGCATTGCTAGGTCATAACTCTCATGCTGATGAAGAAACAATACTGGAAAGAATAGTTATAATAACTGAGGTAATATTATGAAGGATGGCATCAGTATTTCTTCACGAAATAAAATAAAAATTGCAAAATAGTAGAGTTATGAATATTTTGGAGTTTTTTGGATGCAAATATCGCACTAGTCTTAAACTGCTTCAGGCAGTCCAAAGAGTCACAGAAAGTACAACCATCTCATCATCATTACCTTTTGGGCTTGCAAACTCTACTCAGTTTTACAAAACATCCAAGCTATAACTGTAGACATTAGAATATCTTTACTTTTGGCTGATTTATGTTAACAACAGTGTTTTGTTAAAAAAAAAAAAAAAAGGTGCCAGAACTCGCACACATTATACAACCCGCCTTGCCTACCCTACAAGGTTCCATCCAAAAAAGGTGCCGGAACTCCGTTCTGGGTGTTCTATGACAAAAAAAGCCTTGGTTAACACAGTTCCTTGGGACCACTTTACACTAGCCTGGGATTTCGTGGCTGCCTCCCATTCAAGTACTCAGCAGATTTAAGCTCACAGTTGTTGTTTTTTAATTGAGCCAGAGGTTGCCATTGTATCTAAAAATATACTCACAACAAAATACACCTTCCCACCTATGCTATGCATTGAGAAAACCTAAAACAAAGCATATCTTTGTAGCTCTCTAAGTAAAAGACACAACTCCTGTGGTTTCCAAGATTAGAAAACAGGAGATTCTTGAGGGTTTATATTTGTATAATCAATTTAGCTCCATATTAAAAGTTTCTTTTGCCTTCTCTAGTGTCTTAAAAATCCCAAATGTTATAATCATGGTAAGTTACAGAGGTCCCATCCAATCATAAGTACAGCATTAATTTGGAAAAATATCATTTGACAACGGCTGCAGGAGAAAATTCATTTACACAAACACAAAATGAGCTAAATGAAAAGATGCCTCTCCCCCTTTTAAAAAAGACTTTTCTCTTGGAGAGCTTGAATTAGAATCACAGAAATAAGAGACCATTCTCAGCTATTTTCTATTGTTTTTTCAATGGAAAGTTTGTTGTAATATAGGAATTAGAGGTTGAACTACAACAGACCACCCTAAGATGCTTTCTCCTCTTGGTATAGTTTTTTTTGTGCTGGTAGTTGATGGGTTCAAAGTGCTGCAATTTCTTGTAGAAAAACACTGTTTATCAATACTTAAAACGGAACTTCTACAAGGTTCTGAGACTTCTCCTGCAAGTACGATTAGTATGTCATCAGGCTACACTTTGGGTTGCTATGAAAGCATTTTTGTTTCTCAGTTGAGCAACTGGTGGAAGTCACAACAGAAAGCATAATACAGAGCCAGCCAGCACTGGTTCGCACATGTTTCATCATAAACTGTAATTAATATGTCATACAAATATGCCAACTGCTTTCTGCTGAAAAGTATGGCATTAGCCTGAAGGGATTCTGATTTCTTACTAACTTTGATTCCTTCCTTCCTTCCTTCCTTCCTTCCTTCCTTCCTTCCTTCCTTCCTTCCTTCCTTCCTTCCTTCCTTCCTTCCTCTTACAAAGCTTCTAACTAAGTACAACATATAGAAATCTACAGCTTCCAAGGTAACTTGCCTCTAGATTTATTCTCATGAGAAATGATAGCAGAATAGCTAGCCTGTGCAAACAGTATTTCTTTTTTAGAAGTGGTAAAACACATTTGGGCTCACTGAAATAATAGTAATTCAGTAAACTGTTTGTAGATTAATCCCAGTGTCAAATTATTAGAATTACTAGAAATTACTATACTTATGAGGAAGAAAAAGTCAAAAAGTTGAAGATCTTCCATGATATTATTTTGTAAAAAGGATACAGAGCTGGAGAGTGGAACCAGTAGCTCTTTACCTAAGCAGAGGAGAAAAATAGGTTTTGCAATATATTCTAGATAAGGCTACCCTACAAAAGGATAAATTATAACTAATGCAGAATATAGCAGCTAGAACAGCCCATATACCATGTTAAACAAATCATACTAGCTGGCAACACGTACTTCTAATATGATCTGAACTGTTAGTGAATGTTGTGTAATGGTTGTAATTGGTTTAGGATCATAATACTCGAGGAAGGACACCTTCCAAGATTTATTAATATAGATATTAAGGTCTGCTAAGGAATGTTTTCCTTAGCTTCTATTGCTGAGATCAACTGTCCATCATGTGGAAATTCACGGAAATGCCATCTCACCTATGTAGCCCCCATACAAAATGGTCTCGTCTTAGACATTAAGCTAACATAGATATTAGTGTTATTTCAGCAGTATCTTAAGATCTGAATATTTTGGAGAATCTTTGAGCCATGTTAAGTGCATCCTTTCCCCTTTGTATTATTTGTTTTACATTTATTTTACTAATTGCACTATTTTTTTCTTTTTATGACCCTATAATCCCTTAATTCGGGGTAGAGTTGGGGTGACTCAATGGAGCTGAGTGTTTACTGGCTGGATGCCCTTCCTCATGCCTATGCAGAGTTCACAGCAGATATTTTCTCTTTGCACTCTGAGAGAGAAACATCTGTTGCTACCTAGGATTGAACTTTCAACCTTTCGAGTACGAGGCGAATGTCTTCAACACTAGGCCACCATCCTATTCATTTTACTAATTGCACTGTGAAGCTCTAATATAGAATGGGGCAAATAAATAAATAAATAAATAAAGAGGAAAATGCCCAGAACTATTCTCCCAATCTGCAGAATATTTAATATTAATTCAGAAATAGAGTTCAATACAGGACCATTTTTTGAATCTGAGACATAGAAATTATTGCTGAATTCCTATTGAGCAGTGTTTCTTAAGGTGTGGTACTGGAATCTCAGAGGTCCATAAAATCACATTTCCCAGCCTATGTTATATTAAAATCCCGTACAATCATGAGAAGCAACGATGGCAGCAAATGCATCAATTTTAATTTTTAATATGATAAATATTGTTAAATGTAATGCATACAAACAAAAGCTCTTTTTGGGGTCCTTCATAATTTTTAAAAATGGGAAAGCCTCCTGAGAGAGAAAAAAAAACCCTTTAAGAAACATTGCTTTAGTAAGTTTTATAATATTTTTCCAGTCTTCAGTTATTTAAACCACAGATGAATAATCTCAAACTGACCACTAAAATGTACCAATGAAACTTCAGCCAACCATGTAACCAAAACAGACTTATTATAATCAAAACAGAGAAGAATCTTCTAGGCAAGAGAAGATAAGGCACAGGTAGAAAATTTCATTAGGTCATAAAACAGCTGGGAAACCTCTGGCTTGGAAGATGTAAAACTTATCCCAGCATCAGCCAGCACAGCCAATGAGGAGGAATGTTAGGAGCTACAGTTCAGCAAAACCAGAGGTTTCTCACAAAAATCTCAAGCACATTTTCAAGACTGAGCTGAGGCTACAAAAGAGAGTGATTTTAAAAAGGGAATTATTACTTGCCTTCATTGCTTTTATTTAATACATTCAGACAGTCCTTTGCTTCCACATATTTTGTCT